ACACACACACACACACACTTTTGAGCCCCTGGAGTCTGTGGATTTGAAGTTCCTTTCATATAAAGTTGTGTTGCTTTTGGCACTAACAACTGTTCAACGGGTCGGGGATCTCCATGCTCTGTCTGTGAATCCCTCCTGTATTCAGTTTTCACCTGATGGCTCCAAGGTGGTTCTGCATCCAAACTCAGCGTATCTCCCTAAGGTGATACCTTCTAACTACAGCTCCATGTCTATTGAGCTTTCCAGTTTTCATCCTCCCCCTTTTGCATCTGAGGAACAGAGGAGGTTACATTCTTTGTGTCCTCTATGTGCACTGCGTATTTACATTGACCGCACACAGGAGGTGAGGTCATGTGATCAGCTGTTTGTGTGTGTTGCTAACCCACTCAGGGGCAGGGCTCTGTCCAGACAGAGACTATCCCACTGGATTGTGGAGGCTATCTCTTTAGCTTACAGCAGCAGGGGTCTCCCAGTCCCATCGGGTGTGAGAGCTCACTCCACCAGGGGTGTAGCAGCATCCTGGGYMCTWTTTAAAGGGGTACCTGTGAGTGACATCTGTGCTGCGGCCAGCTGGTCTTCACCGCACACATTTGTTCAATTTTATCGCTTAGATGTGACAGCCCCTTCAGTGGCTCACTCTGTGCTCTCTGCTGGATCTGAAGTGCTGCACTAGCATGTTATTATGACCCAAGTTTGGTGCTGCTCCGCGGGGCATTTATATATGTCCCATACATGATGTGTTGTACCGAGTGAATTGACTGAAAGGGCACGTAATGTTATGCATATAACTACTCTTCCCTGAGGGAAAGGAACGAGGTACAACCCATGGTGGCCCCGCTGCACAGCTGGACTCGGTGAAGAGCAGTTACCGAACTAAGGAGTGACTGTGATGGCGACAGTATATATACAGTACGTGCAGGCGGAGCCYGACATCTGTCGTCATCACGTCACCTGCCTAAAGGCGTGATTAGAGGTGGCTTCAGCCAGGACACGCAGGGGCGTGGTTTCCCATACATGATGTGTTGTACCTCGTTCCTTTCCTTCAGGGAACAGTAGTTATATGCATAACATAACGTTTTGATTGTCGCCAGTAAATTGGTTGATTCACTACATGAATGTATGGCTTATAAGGCTGAGTACACCTGCAACTCCTCAGACTGAAGAAGTCTCTTGGAAAAGAGTTGAAATGTTTCAGCAAAGAAGAACTCATCCAGACCTGACTCAGCTTTGTTAGATTTTTTTACCTGAATGATTGAGATGCAACAGGACAGATTTTGACTTCATTTTCTTGGCGGTTAAGTACTATTTTGAATCTTTTGACGGGCAAGTCAATAAGTAAGTCAATAAAGAGCAACATTTCATATATTTTAACATTCCCCAAATATTTTTTTATTCATAGTATGCAGATTTTGCTACCCATTGTTATAAAATACCTATAACTTGACTAATTATCACACATCTGCTGCTTTAATATTTTCAGTATCACAGGAAAAAAACTGCATACTGTACATTAAAGGTTTAAATGCCTCACCACATACGGTAACTCGATTAGGACAATCAGCAATGTAAGGAAAAACAGTCCTCAGCACCATTGAAGTTTTTTTTGAAAGGAGTATAAAGTAAAAACAGTAGTCATGGATGAGCTCATCTTTACCGACAGAATATGATGTATGTACGGAAGTTGAATATTTAAGGAAAATGATAATTATAAACCAATTCAAAGAGCATTTTTGCTTAAAATGCCCACCCATATTATAAAATCAGATAACTTCTAAGTGTAATTAAAGTTCTCTTTTCTCTAAACAAGACAACCCTTTATATGTGACCTTTATAATAGACTGGGTGAAAAGCAGTCTAATCTTTACCCTGAGTCCAGAGATGAAGACTTTTACACATCTACTTTGTGGAAAGGCTGGCAGCAAAAATTCAGAGAAGTTGACTCAACAACACACACACCAAAGGTTACACAATCCCGTTCACTCTTCATATGCAACCTCTAAGCCAGCTCTGACATTCTCACCTTTACCCAGACACAATTACTCTTCATCCTTAAAAAGTACAGGCCAGACAGGAGGGTTAACTGACTTCACTGTGACATCAAAGCTTTTTGTCCATGATAGCACCGATGGCAAAAAATGCCCTTGGGGATAATAGGTGGGGTTTCTCATGTCACAGGCTAATAGGGACAGCCCCATTCTTGCAGTGTCAGGGTTCAGGGCACGAACAAAACAAAAGTCCTTGAAGCATCAAAGGGAAAATAAAAAAAAGAAAAAGACTTTTCCTGGTGAAACGAAGAAGCAGCGCAGGACTCACCATGCCTGGGTTGGTGACAATCATTCCCTTGCACTCCTCGGCATACTTCTGCCAGTCCAGCTGTTCCCACTGTAGCATGTCTGCAATCTCCTCTTCAGGAACCAAGGGCTTGTTGCTACGTAGCAGGTACAGCAGCACCTGATGCATTGACAGCACCTCCTTTCCACCATCTAAGTCAATTCACAAAACAGATGTACAGACACAAAATTCAACGCACAAACAGTTCATGTTTATAACAATACCCCAACCATACAGGCAGCTCAACAACTCTGTTTTAAGTCAGTCTTATGAAATGTCAACATGACCTCATACAACTCAATATTATCTTTTATGAGGACAACTAAAACATTGGTCCTCAACCTGTGGGGAGCCACCAATAGAAAGAGGATCGGGTCATTACAGGTGTGCACATAATCATTTATCTTTTCCTTTAATTTTAATTTTCACGCCTAAGAATTGTAGCTAACTTTTAGACATTGTTGCCACTGACTTGTTTTTGTGATGGATCATAACACACAAGCTCCAGGCTTGACAAGGACAAAAGTGATGAAGAATGGAAAATGAAGTGATTTCTCTCTCTCATGAAGGAAAAGGAGGCGAAGTATTTGTTTCCTCTCAATGAGAAGGTGACAGGATCAAATTCTGGAATGGGACCTTTCTGGGTGGAGTTTGCATTTTCTTTATGTGCAAGAATGGAATCTTTTAACTCACAATGTACACCAGTGTGTAAACAGAAAGGGGGAAAACCCAAGTTGCTTCTAATTGAATAATACCAGTAATTAGAATTAGGAGTGCACTAATTGCAGTTTTCTGGCTAATCATAGATCACCGACCTTTAAAAAGACCTGCTGATTCTGACTTTGTGCAATACCGATATTTTAAATAGCTGACAATGTCAGATGTTATAAGGTCACAATACAACTTCAATGTTCCAATGTTATAAATTGAACATTACCTACTTTCCCTCTGGGATCAATAAAGTATTTTTGAATTGAATTGAATTGAATTGAACAATATCCTTGAAACAATACAAACCTGTTTGAACTGAACATTAGGTAGTGCTCACAGCAGAACAAAAGGGGACAGTGGCTAATTTCTGACTTTGTGGAGGTAGAGAAGCCGATCTTTTCCATCAATCTTTTCTAAAAAAATCAGCCGATATCCGGTCTCCGAAAATGAAGGAAATCAGACCCAAAATCAGACCATTTTTCGGTGCACCCCTAGCCTGGTTAAAACCAGACCCTGTCCTTCATTTTGCTTCGTACAAGGGTCTGGACTTGCTGCATAGAGAAGTGATTCTTGCAGGTGTGGCCTCTGCTGAAGCATGTGTGTGTTTTTGGTGTGAAGGAGGCTAAGCTAAGAAGCTAACTGGAAATCGAGTGTGTTGTAAACAACCCTACTGAGAGGAAAAAAGTACAGAGACAAACGAGACGGCTGTAAATGAGAGCTGCTGCTTTGTCAGACAAATTTATTTTAATTTGGAAGCCTTATCAACACAGACTGGCTTCATTCTCTTCCTCCACTGCCGTATGCTAAACTAACTAGCAGACACTGCGCAGCACATCGACGTCATTCAAAACTCCACCTTCTGTTTGCTGATTGGCCCAGGTAAAATAAACTACAAGCAGACACTGYGCAGAAAATTGACGTTCTCTTCTCTGATTGGCCSGGCTMAAAATCTGCCAGCGAAATCCTTGTYAATGGGAGAAATCCCAGACRGAGCAGWGAAGGGAAACTAGAATTGAGCAGAGCTGCGTAGGAAGGCAAGGGCCAGGCTAGTGCATCCCTAGTTAGAATGTATTTTGCTGTTAGAATTACAGGGAATGCCAAGACAAAAAAAGTGTAAAAGAAAACACACAGATGACAGTAAACACTTCACACCAGTCGTGTAAGCCACTCCAGTTTTTGAAAACTAAAACAGGTTAATTATCACCAAGCTGAAAAATCCTTCTCAGAAACAGCATCAGTGGRGGATAAAACATTAAGTCACAAATACTGTGACAAAATAAAAACAGCTCTCACTATAAAAAGACTCAACAATTCTCTCAAATACCTGCTCAAATTTGATTTTGGAGCGACTGAAAAGTACTATTGTTTACAAAGATATGGAGCAGAAATAGACTCATTGAACCCTTTATGCTGCAATACTACTGAGCTAATTTATATTTATWTTTGTTGGCTTTCTCTGTACAGACTAAATTTTACTCAACATATAAAAAGTTAGAATTTCTTACTATTTTTGAATGTTTGGAGGTTGATGAAAAAAATCTGTTTTTAGACTTTAACTCGCCAAGTGCAGTTCTTATTTGTTCCTAGATAAATGGTACTTCACGTTTTATGTCATATCATATGAAAAAAAAAATTATATCCCCCTTTATCTCAAATAGACTAAAATCCAATTATACCAATTTAACTCAAATTACAAATACATATTAAAAACACAWAGATTAACATAATTATTTCATTTTCTTTCTTAATTTATTCAGTCAATTTAAAAAAAGTGTGAACTAGTTTTTGTACCAGTTTGTCACAAGACTCTTCTTTTTGACAGAACATTTTTAAAATGCACAATAACTAAATTAAAGCTGCAGTTTGAAATAACAGAAAAAGATTTTGTCATCAGCCCCAGACTATCCAGGAATATTATGGAATATGATTAAAATGYGCAATCAGGGGTTTTAAACTATAGCAATAAAGTTTCATTTATGCAAAAAAAGAGCTCCTTGTTGAATTATTGAGTAATTTCCACTTAATAYTTTTAAAATGAGTAACACAGCTTAATCAGTAGAACAACAACCCATGAAAGTGCAAAAAATATTGGATCCCTTCATCATTGAGGTTAACGTCATTTTATCACAATGATAGTTACTTTGTTTTATTCTCCACTGACATTATTTTAAAGAGATTGTTTTCTGTTCTTAATAAGGTTTTTTTTTTGTTTTTATTTTAAACTGGAACAGTTCAAGCAACAAATGTGTCTGAAATGTAATGTTTCAGCTTGCATCATTAGATGACTTAAACTTTCGACTGTCAGCTTAGTTTTTTTTTTTTTTTTGAGAAATCACACAAACGTTTTTTTGTAAGTCTCCTACCACACCTTGTAATAGAAATACATATATTTTCTTTGTCGTCTTTAATTTTAAGCATCCTTTTGTATTTGTTTTATCTCTCAATGAGACCACATTTACTTGATGATGCACACTGAGAGGAAGCAGGGGCTGGATAACTTTTCAATCAGCATTTCTGACGACCTACAAAATGGATGCCCCTCTCAGATTTAGCAGCGTTTGCCCACTTTGACCATCATCAMGTTGATAATTTGTCCCTGATTTAAGGTGACACCTCCTCCAGCTGGCAAATTCTTGTTTTTCTATGGAAGGGAGATGAAACTCTTCCCTCTCCAGTTGTCATCAGTCTATCTGGGCAATACACAGTCTGAAATGTAAGAATGCACTCTTGGATTGCCATCTGCCTGAGGAGACGCAATTTGTTTGACGCAAAAACAAGTCCAAGTGAAAACAATGTCTAAACACTAGCTCCACATGCAACTTTTTAGGATCAACATATTCAAATTGGAGAGGTTATGCAAGTGTCTGGTATAACAAATACTCACAACAGCAGAAGGCAGAGCAAAGAGGACACTTTCAGACCTTAAAAATAAAAGCCTTGCCGTGTTTTGGTGTAAATAGCATAATATTGTTTTTTGTTTTCTTTTTTTTTRCTTGATTTGTGGACTGCCAGTGTTGCATTRGAAAAAGCATCCCTGCCAACAAAGGTACACTCAATTAAGCTAGGGTTGTTTGACACTTATGACGTGGTGTCATACTGTGCTGCACACAAATTTGCCTGTCTTTTAATCAGTTTGACATGCTCAGGTCTGGTAAATGTTAATGATTTAAACAAAACAACAATAATCAATCAATAGATCAATCAGTCTACTTCTAGTTCAGACTCCACTTGATACAGTAAACTACATATTGGCATGCCTATAATAATAATAATAATATTCTGATCTATAATATAAATAGATACACAGAAATATAGCATATAATCAACAGGGAGCCAGTTTATTAAAATAAACTTAGGTAAAATGATTTGAAATTGACAACCCCCTCCCCACAACACACACAGCTCCCTGAGTCCTGTCAGCATTCAGATAAATTCACTGTACCTTTCGAACATCAAGCTCTCTAACACCGTGTTTTTTTTTAAACTCACTCATTCTTCACAGATCACATCAGAAACGTTAGATTAGACAGCTTTTGTGTTTTTGTAAAGGAGGCAGATACGTGTCTGTGGCTTTTTAAATTGGGAGAGCTGGGAGAGAAATTGTTTTTTGATGGGAGGAAGGTAGGTGGCACAGCAGCAACAACAAACACAGGAGCGGCACAGCGGTGCACCAGCGCCACCAAGTGTCTCCCAAAAAAACAACGTCAGGCAGGACGCAACAACAGCAGCTCGATCATTTGTTTTTGTCCAGGACAAACCATAACAATAAACATCGAGGCATGAACAAAAGCTGAGGGAAAAAATGTGAATGAGAGAAAAAAAAATGTGCTAAAAGGTACGCTCCTTTTTCCTATTTATGGAAAATAAAAGAACAAAAAATTGGGCTCAGAAAACAGAAGCACCAGTTCTGTGTGTGTGCGGATGTRAGAGTGAGTGTGTGTGTGTGTCAAGTCCTACCAGGTAAGAATCTGACAAATCGAGGCATGAAATGGAACTGCTGGCATCCAGAAGACTCGGCGTCGGACTCAGGACCTGAAAGATAGCGCGTACTCTCAGTAATAAGTTTTTCACACAAGATTAAAGCTTCAATTTTTGACTCAAAATAATAACCAGAGTTAGACCGGGCTTCAGTCGATTATATATTTCAATCCTTTCAGCAGATGTGAAATGCAATAAACAATAATAATAATAAAACACTTTCAGTGATTACAAATGTGATAAAAGATGTTTAAATGTTAGATGTGTCATTTGAAAATACAATTTGGATTCAATTAAGTTTACAAGTCTGCAATTGATATGATGCGATATCATATGCCCCTCTAACACAAGCATTTAGGGTTATGGGCATACAAATCAAGCAAATGATGACAGTATGGACCAAAGTTTTGTTTTTCCTTGATGTAATTGAATCATTAAATCACTAAATCATCGACGTGGATCAACGTATTGTCACACCCCTAGTAGTCATACTTCATTTACTTTAGGTGTTCCTAACCCTAACCCACAAATAAACTACAATAAACTAAAATAAGTTTTAGTTTTAGGATTACTTTGTTCTAAAATTTATGTCCAAATAATCTCAAGAATATATTGCTAATGGCACAGACTAAAATGTATCTGATGTTTTATGGGAAAAAAAAAACATTAGCTTTTTTTTATTATTATAAACACATAGCTACAGTCAATAAGTCCTGTTTAAAGCCCAACTTAAGACCTACTTATTCAAAAAGGCATTTGGTGTTTAATTTTTGCATTTTATATATCTTTTTTACTTTCTTTTATTGTAATTTGTGTTTTTAACTTGTACTGATTTTTTTGGCTTGATTGTATTTGTTTTACCTTGTGAAGCACTTTGGTCGATGCAAGGCATTGTTGGAAGGTGCTATATAAATAAAGTTTATTATTATTAKKATTATTATTATTATTATGAAACTTGGACTTGGAGTTTGCAATCTGTGTTGTTTAAATAAAATAAATAAACAAAAAAAGTGATCTGTAAAAGCTAAAAATACAGAATCAACAAATTTATTCTCGTCTTAGATCTGTTTTATGGGTTGGGTATATAAACTGGATGCTTTCTTTTGAGAATAATTAATATTCTGAAACATATTTCAATAAATACATTTAGTCCTGATGCTATTATGTCTTGTAAAAAAACAACCTTTGATTAAGTCTTTTATAAACACCTCTGACTTGAGTCTAACTGATGCTGGTAAAAGACTTCTATGACATGAGCTCGTGACGAAAAGCACTGTACCTTTCAGATTCCAGTCATACAGCTCAAGAATATCCTGGAACAAGTAGGAGGCGAACAGCTCCAGCCCTCGGACACAGTAGTTCTAGACACAAGAGAAAAAACAACAACAGCAACAAAATGTTGGCAAACAGAACCAAAAGATTCATAATGCAACACAGTTTACTTTAAAGTAAATCGGGCTTTCTGACTTCATCACATAAGCCATCTGATAGATACGAACAACTTTTACAGGTCGAACCGAAGCTCTTTTGCTTCTTCTAAAAAGGATTAGCACCTTGGCTCACCCAAACACCGAGGTGTGAGAGTTACATGTGGCTCAGCTGTGCTCAGACTCAGCCATTTGAGATTAAAAAAAAAAAACAAAGGAGGGTGAGAAAGAGCTGCGAGATAAAGTGGTGTTGGACTGACCTCTGGTGTCATCTCCTCTATGAAGTGAATGGTGTAATCTATGTTGAAGCGGATCACTCGGCACAATGGAATCTGTGATGATGAAAGAGGAAGAGGAGAAGAAAAGAGGACAGAAAGTCTCATTACGACAGCGATTCGGAGAGGTTACAGCTTTTCAAGGAAACTCATTAAAAAACCTCGTTCTTTTAGAGCAAACACTGTATGCATGTATGGAAACGCGATGCAAAATTGTGCAAAAACATGCAAAACCCCTGGTAACTTCCCAAACCCACACGCTTCACGGAGAACGCGCCTCCACACACAAGCATAAAAGGAAATTAAGCAACTCAAATCTTGCTAAAAGGATAAGCCCGATCTTCTGTGTTTAATCTCCCCCGGTTACACGGTCTTTGTTGTCAGAGCGCAGGGGTTCATTTTAAGAGATTAACCTGGAGCCACGTTCATTCTTGCCCATCCTGGCGGCTAACTAGCAGGGAGCTAATATCGCCACGCTCTCGGGGTTACAAATCTCTGCACTGTCAGGAAGCGTTTGCCCTAGCTTTTAACAAGGGTTGCCYCAAATTATCCAGTTCAAATCATTCCGGATCTTCAGGGCCTTTTTCTCAAGGTATTGATCACACTGTTTTCTTTCAGGCAAATTTACTTGAATAAGCATCTCTACACAGACAACAGCCACACTTTGGGCTCATTTTTCTTAAAAAAAATTGAACCCCACCCCCCGTCGATTTTTTGCCCTCTTTGAAGCTCCTCCCTGGGATAAAAGTTGAGCTCAGCTCAAATGGCTCCAGAAAGAGATGTTCCTTTTAAATCACAACCTCTTTAATGGCTGACAGCCACTGATGGGCCTTCAAACGGAAGGGAGAGGACTCGGTGACAAGGTCAGCCCAGCGAGAGGGAAGCACTTTGTCCCGGCTACAAAGAAGTCGACCTGAAGCCAAAAGCTGATTTGAAGTTATGTTTCAGGAAAGTGGAGCTAAAGAGGAGGTGTTTTTTTTTCAAACTCAAACCCTGACAGAAATAATAAAAAAATAAATAGATCTGCCAGATGAGACATGTAGGAGGAGGACTGTAGCCTGTAATGGTCAGTGAAAACCCGGCTGGGCAGCAGCTGGCGTCTGTTTGGTGAGAGATAATAAGACAGAAGAGAGTTTACACTGAGGATCGGTGGAATATCTGACCAATGATACATGACTGAACCAATGAAAAGATCAGAGGTAGACTGACTGATCATTCAGCCAATTAATAAGGCTTTTTTTTTCTTACATTTTGAGTGACAAATCCTGAGCATTTTCATGTTCAATGACTTGTGCTTTTTCAAACTCAAAGAAAGTTACCCAGAACATGTTGCCTCTTTTTTCAAGAACAGTTTCACCACTGAAAATAGTCAGGCCTTATGATAATTCAAATAAATATGTAATTGGGCTTACTGTTATACATTGCTCTTTGAACAACCTCATTTTGAAGAAATAAGGGTTAATTGTCCAAATTGATGAGCTAGTCCGAGTGGAGACACTACACTTAGAACAAAGTAAGAATATGTACTTATCCACATCAGACATTAGGGTTCAACAATAGGAAAATATTGTTTCATTTCCTTTTTCTTTTTATCATTTTAGTATATTGTAACAAGGATGAATATCTAAGAGTTACACTATATGAACAAAAGTATTTGGCCACACCTGACATTCTGGATGTCAGGTGTGGCCAAATCAGAGGGGACCGGCTCCATACAGAGCCGGTCAGGGGACCGGCTCTGTATGGAGCCGGTCCCCTTTCTGCAGCGCCTTATAGACTTTTACACAAGATTGTTTCTGTGGGAATTTGTGGCCATTCATTTTGTAAAGCATTTATAAGGTCAGGCACTGATGTTCGACAAGAAGGTCTGTCTCACAATTTCCATTCCAGTTCATCCCAGAGGTGCTTGATGGAGCTGAGGTCAGGGCTCTGTTCTTCCACATTAAACTCAAACGACATCTTTATAGTCGTTACTTTGTGCACCGAGGTACAGCCACGTAGGAACAGGAAAGGGCATTCTTAACGTATCACCACAAAGTTGGTGTTGTATGTTGAAGCATAAACAATGCTTTTCAAAGAATATATTGAAAGCTTGTAAATTAAAAAGAAACTCCCAGCACCTTGACGACAAACTGTATAAAAATAGACTGTGTATAAACATAGAATGTGATAGTTATTGCATTTTTAAAAAGAAACAAAGTTTGGCTGAAAGAAAATCAGTCATGCATTCACCTGTAACCCAATTTAACTGTAGACCTTGTAGACTGAGGAGCTTGTGTGTTGGGCAGTGGTGAATTTAGTCTGTTTTGTGCACTTGTTTTATGAACTGTTACCTTTTTATCTGCTCAGGACTACAGATGAAATTTAGTTGTTGTGATAATTCCGGCGCATTTGTGCATTGTACTTTTTAAATAAAAAAGAAAGAAAAAAAAACTTGACTGAGTTCAGTGACGGCCCGATCCTGTAGAACACAGACTTACGTTGGTGAGAGGTGTGTGGGAGAAGAGCGAGAAGCCTTCAAACAGGTACTCGTGATCATCGTACTCGATCACCGTCGGCCTGTCGGTCTGAGAGAAAAGCAGAACGATTCGGGACGTGAAACACGCGAAGCAGCTGCACGGACCGGACGGTCATCGGGAGAAACAAAACACCTTCGTACCAGGAAGTTGGTAGGAGGTGACACAGTGATTCTGTAGTGGAACAGTTTTCCTGCRTTGTTGTTCATTGGACGACACGACCTCGCGGGCTGGAAAACAAAAAAAATTAAAAAATTTAAAAAATAACACTGGTGTGTGGATTTGGTTAAAGAAAGTCACAAAAAATATGAACGATGCAATAACCCATAATTTAGCTGCTCATGTAAGAAATATCAAGCATAAAAAACAATTAAGCAACATTTTTAAAGGTAAATCGTAAAATTAGGAAAATATTTGTCGATTCATTAAGTGTGTGAATTAGACATAACTAAAATGTTGCAAAATCTAAAACAAAAAAACACCTCTATAATCCCTTTATTGTTAAGGATTTATTACGAAACGGATGACTTTCATTGATTTTTATTGAACATAAAAGCCTCTAAGTGTGTCTAAAATGTATTGCACTCATTGGGTGAAGACAATCAGATAAACGATGCTGTTCAAAAGCTAAAGTTGGTCATAAAAATGTAACCAATGAGTTATAATAAAAAAARAGCTATAATAATATAATTTACTTCTTTACAGAGTCTCATTTATTGTGCCTTTAGTGGATGAGTAAATGTCGTCTGTATGGAAATCCACTTCACAGAGTGAAATAATGCCCTTGGCCCTGCGTGGCACAGCCTGAAGGTTATGAACGGGTGATTTATTCACAGCGTGTCCCACCTCCTCTCCTGGGTAGATGCTGTGGCGGATCCCTGTACGTCTGGCCTTGGCGCTGCACTTACACAGGGGACCATCATTCATCTGGACAGAAAGAAAATACGTGAATCGGACAGCGGCTGCTCCACCTGCCATGTATAACACAAAGATTGCGAAACGTTCTACATGTCCGAGCTGCCGGCTGCTGACCTTTGTTTCTCTCCTGCACTTTGAAACTCAGCGTTTAGGAAGTTTTCTTGTGAAGTAGTACCTTTGATGTGTATGTGCACGTACAGTATAACCAACATTTAATGACTCCTAAAACACTTTAGGCGCTTCCAATTAACTATATATTAAGCCGTTTTTGTTAAGATAAGCATTTACAAATGAATGTGCAGCAGCCACAAGTAAATCATAYATACAGTTTGGAGGATGGTAATTTTTGGAGCGATTGGGACCCAGTTTGCGTAAAATTTGACTGAATGAACAAATTCTATTTACATGTTTCTGAAAGCTTTATGTGTAGTAAAATTGTAATGAATGTACAAATTACCAAAGAATTTCCCAGGGCTTTGAAAAAACAAAACAAAAAAAATGATCTTATTGTTAGATCAGACCGACCTGTCCCGGGTCGTTGTACCACAGCTCCTCATGCAGCCGGTCAGGATGAGCTTTCTTCCTCTTGATCTCGGCGATGACATCAAAAACCTCGGAGTCGGAGCTGCTGGAGCAGCTGCTTCCTTCCTCGTCTGATTCGCAGTCTGACTCACTGCTGCTGTCGTCTGAGAAGAGAGCGCATCGCCGTCTTTAATCAGAACTTTAAAGAGCTTCTATAAACGGAGCTGGTCGACAGGTTAAGCTGTCCTGATCGGAGCCATTCATCACATTTTCCCCAAAATAAAAGCCTCTAACAAAACAACTAAACCAACGTGGGCCGTGTTTTCCTTTAATTTTTGCGTTTTTTATTATTATTAAATCCGTTACCTAATTTACATTTATTTGTTTCTTTAAGCAAACAAAAATATTTACAACACACTCTGAGGATCAACTGTTTGAACAGACTTGTGCATTAGGATTTCTATTTTCTAACAAGCATCTCTGAGATTAAAAGGAGGAGCACAGCTGCCAGTGTTGTTCCTCGTTTTCTTTTTCTCTCACTCTTCGTTAAGGAAAATAAATAAATAAATGAAGAAACCTCGCACCAAATTGAGGATTATAAWTACTATTCAGCTGAACGGTTTCTGGCTCTTAGCTAAAGCTGGGTCTTCAAGTCTTATCAGCGTTTTCATTCAAGTACTTTACTGTGAAATCAGTGCCTGCAGCTATATGTTCAGTAAATAAGATTTAGAAAGTGAGATTTATATTATTATAGAGTACAAATACTCTGTCAAAGTTACAGGCCTTCAGATAACATCCAGAATACATAATATTAAACGTAATGCTGGAAAAACAATTTAATGCTTGTTAGGAATACAGGGCTGACTATTGTTTGTTTTGCTAATTGCTGAAGTTTTATGCTTATAAAAGTTATACAAGTTCAAGCAAAATCAGGGACTGGTTCTAATTAAAGAATCAAATATTAAAAGAGTGTAAAAGGACTGATATTTGCATTACAGCTTTAAAAATAATTAGTCATTGCTCATGTTTTTTTTTTTCCTTCTAAGCTCTCTAGTTATTGTTAATTCTTCAGTGGTTCCAAAATGTGTTTCATCTTTAAACTTTGGTTGCTTTTTTCATTCTTTCAGTCCAGTTTATACCATTTTCCTGCATGTAGTCAAGTACTGGACTGAAAATTTRTGAAAAGCCATCCAAAATCTTAAAAAAAATAAAATAAAACAACCTCTGAGAAACCTACAGAACGCATAAGAAATTACAAAAAAATTAATAAAAATAAAACTTAAGAGGTTGCTCTATACTTCTTTAAAGTGGTTTGTGCAGTTAAAGCTAAAATTTTATCTCAAATAAGTAAATCTACCTTTACAGTAAAACAAAACACAAATTCCTCTGATGCAGCTTCTCAACTGAGGCACAAATAAAAAAAATAATAAACAACAACAGGTACACAAGTCAGTACCGCAGTGCCACACACCTGGATCCTCGTCCAGTTTGGTCTTGGGCGGGTCCCACTTGGGTCGAGCCTCCTTGGCTCGCTCCTGCCTCCTTCCGAGCTCCTCTTCGAACCGCTCGTACAGATCCCGCAGTTTACTGGTCCCCACAACTGTGGAGTCGCCCTGAGGCACAAAGGATTGTACAGAACAGGGTTTCTGCCTGCAGCTTGTGTTTTTCCTCAACGTGAACAAAGCCGATGCAGACAGAGAGAATATGAACAACATTCTTGTCAAATTTAGATTTTAATGATTTGAAGACATGCTGGTATTTCTCTTTAGCTTTTACTGAACCCAGTGAAAAACTATCAAACTCTTAGAATTACACCAATATTCCATAAAATCTAATGAAGTGAAAAAAATACTGTATTTCCATCCTCTGTAAGGACACCTTTGCTGGGACTCTTCATCCCTTTACAGGAATGTCTGAATGAAACTTTAGAAAATAAAATGTCCAACATCTGAGAACCTGAATGTCATCACGCGTAAAGCCATTAATGTTGCATCTGAAAAAGGCTTACACACTGCCACTCTATAGGTCAATAAATTTAATGGAAATAATAATGACAGACAGACACTGAGAGCTGCAAGAATGTCACAGATATCATGAAATGTGATCATGAAAACTGGCTAAACTTAATTATGTCACTAAAAAAGAAAACTCTGAATGCGTTTAGAGGAGCGTATTTAATTGTGATGCTTTCAGTCTTCATACAGTGGCTCCATTTGAACCTTCAGTCTCAGTCCCAATGAAACTCTAAACCCTTTTTCAACAGTTTTGTTACGGACATTCGACATCCGGGCTGTCCCAGCAGAAAAACCCYGAGTAGGGCTTGATTTTGTTTAGGAACAAAGCCCACAAAAAACCTGGACTAAAATACAGGTCAGGTTTCTGCCTGGATGTTTTACTCATGAGAATTAACAAACTTTCAGACAACTGGCTAAAAACATCAGGGATTTTGAGAAAAAAAAAAAGAACTAACTGAGAAATGTTTCAGAGGACAAGTAAATAAAGTCCTTTAAAAGGGAACCYCAACATCTTGTRACATTAGACATTATTTGATAAACGTTTATTTCAACAGTCAAACAAAGACTGTAAAAATAATGTAGGCCGTTTAGTTTTTATAAGTTTAAAATATATATTGTCACAGGGATGGCTCCATATTTTTATTTACGCCACACTGCACAACAGGTGAATGCTGATGTTCACTAGGTGTTCTGGTGCGAGTGAGCTCAATCCACCCTGAAGTCTAATCTTGGACAATATCAGACAGTCAGCCCTTTGAAATGAAACAAGACCTGAGCCTGAAACTGAGAACACTGAAAAACAAATAATAAATATGTGGTGTTAGTTCACATACAGCTAACACTATTTCACTGTAGGTATACGAATTAGCTCAGGTGCTAACACCAAAGCTAACAGGTTAAGCTGAGGTCCTCCATCCTTATTATCAAGTGCAGGTTGAGTTATTTCTGCATTCTCCTCTCTGTCAAAACGATCTGGTTTCATTTGAAAGTGCTGATCATCTGATATTGTCCAAAATTTTCCTTCAGGATAGAGAGAGTTCGCAGCCTCACACCGCAACACCTAGTGAACGTCATCATCTACCCAGTATGCAYTGTGGTGTAAATAATATGGCGCAGTCCATATGACAATATATTGTGTTTTTACMGTCTTTGTTTAATAGTTGAAGTAAATATTTATCAAATGTCTAAAGTTACAACTAGTCGGGGTTACCTTTAAGAAAAACATTACAAATTAGATAAGATGAGCCACAAATGTCCTGTTTGTGCCGATTTGTGCGTTAAAGAGATTCCCGATTAGCTGTAACATTAGACTTTATTTGATAAACATATATTTTAACTGTAAAATTAAGACTGCAAAAATACTGTAGGCTGTTTAGTTTTGTAAATTTTTAAAAATATATTTTAACACG